CCTTGAATGCCTGGGCTCAAGTGATCCTCCTGCCTTGGCCTCCCAAGTAGCTGGGACTATAGGTGAGTGCTACCTGCCTCGCTATTTTTTTTATTTTTTGTAGAGATGGGGTCTTGTTTTGTTGCCCAGGCTGGTCTCAAACTCCTGGCCTCAAGCAATTCTCCCACCTTGGCCTCCCAAAGTGCTAGGATTATAGGCATGAGCCACTGCTCCCAGACTATCTTTTTGATTGTAGCCATCCTAATGGGTGTGCAGTAATAGATCACTACGGTTTCGATCTGCATTTCCCTGCTGAATAATGATGTTGAACGTCTTTTTATGTGCTTATTGGCCATTTGTATATCTTCTTTGGAGAACAGTCTAATTAAATCCTTTGCCTAATTTTTAACTGGGTTATTTGTCTTTTAATTGTTGAGTCGTAAGAGCTCTTTATATAGTGTGGGTACAAGCCCCTTATCAGACATAAGATTTGCAAATACTTTCTCCCATTCTATCCCACAGCTGATTTTAATGCTTCAAGCTCAGTCTCTGCAGCCTATGTCTTAGGAGGCACAGTGTGCTGATGCAAACCCTATTCATGCTTCCTGCTAGTGAAGAGTTTGTTTTCACTCCATACCTGCCTATTTAAAGAGGGTTTGCCTCACTCATATGAAAACCCTGCCAAATACATGGCCACACATCCTGTGTAAGTAGCAGTACATTTTCCAGAGCCTCAATGCCACACCCATACATGGGACTCTTGTCCCCAGCTCTGACCTTTGTCCTTGTCGTAGGCGACAGACTTCAGAAAAGCCAAGGAGGTGGCTGCTAGGAGCCTGAGCGGGGGCAGTGGGCAGTGTCCCCTCTAGGATAGCAACTTTGGCCCAGAAAGCAAGGCCAGGGGGACAGAGGAGATGAGGCTGAGGATCCCTCCCTGCCCCCAGGCCCCTGGCTCCCACACACCACACTTTTCTAACTGTACCTCTGACCCTGACTGAGCTGTGCCTTCTGTCAAAGTGGCAAGTGGTCAGTCCCAAGATGAAAGCCACTTCAAGATGCTGGCCACATGCACATAGCACCCAGCTGCAGGTCACAGACTCTAATGGGGAGAGGGTCCCCAGACCACAGGCCCTTCCTCTGGGTGAGGCATGCTCCAGAAGGGGTAAATGATTTCTTTATCAGTTATATCTTTATAGATCTCTTAACTTAAAGATCTCTAACCTCCTCCCTGCCTCACCCTCTGACAGCAATGTGAGTGGCTCTTCCTCAAGTGCAGGGCAGACCCTGCTCACTGACACCCATGCCACTTCTGTCCTCACTCTGTCCCTGAGAGATGGAACACAGGCTAGGCACCTGTGCAACTCAAGAGCCACGTCCAGCCTCTGCTAGGTCACTCGCAAAAATGTTAAGTTTGTCCCCTTTGCCCCAGCTACTACTCTTCTAGAAATGTAAGGAAATAAACAGAGATGATTCATGTACAACAGTGTAAACGTATGAGTCACAAGCTGTCAACTACCTATGCCCATGAGCAGGGAAAAGTTAAATACAGCACATGTAATACTTCATATAATAAAATATACAAAGATTACACAGAAATAATTATATGAAAAAAATGTTCACACACTTAACTACGTTAAGTGAAAAAGCAAAAAAAAAAAAGGAGGTAGAACCCAAAAGTGTGACTCCATTTTGGTTTGGTTTCTA